ATAAATGAGTTCTACTGTGTTGTGTAGGATGCCTCTGAGCTGAGATGGTTTTCAGAGTCTACTTGGCATGCATAGATAATTTGTGCTGAACAGGTTGAACTCCCTGTTCATAACACCACCACAGCTGGGGATTGCCACAGATGAGGTGCCACATTCTACTGGTTGAAGTGTCCATCAATCTGTCTGTTTTGTTGCAAAGGAAAGCAAGGAGTCCTAAAATCAGCGTGGGGTTGGGCACTTGAAACACCATTATCAGTCTGTGGGGGAGACAGGGTCATGGGGTTCATGGGTCTTTGAGAAGGCAGGAGGACCAAGGATGGAGAAGGTTAGAGGTCAAGGGCCTGGCTTCTTTCTTTCGAGAGGTGTAGGAAAGCTTTGGGAGGCTAGGAAGGTTACAGCTTTCTACCACATAATGATTTTGGTACTTGGATTGTAGGGTTAGAAGAAAGAGACTGAGTTCCCACATTGCCAGTGCTGTCAGCATTCCTCAGGCTTGTCTGGCATTATCTCAAACTTTTCTTAATCTCTTTCACGCACATCTGGCCCATGCACTTTTGCTTGGTCTTGCTATTCTGGTGCCTATCATCTCCTCTGCCTGCCACCCCCGTGTCCCTCCATCCCTAGCACCCCTTGGTCTGGGCCTGCAGAGGTCCTCTGGAGTAGTTGTGAGGGAGCAGAGAAAAATAAAATAAGGAGGAGACATTTTTAGGACATTCTTTCTTTGCCTGTCCTTGAGATGCTACTCAGATCACTTTGTCTCCTCTGCCTCTGGTACCCTGGTTATCTTTGGGTCTTGGTTGCTATGACAACTGGTTGCGGCTGTATCCTATTCATTGACATCACACACTGTCAAAATTTGATCGCCACAGCAACACAGTGCCCTTTCTAAACATAGCTCTTCTGTTTATGCCAGCACCAGGCACAACAGGGAGGGGCTGAGCAGGGGTAGAGTGGGGGCGACATGAGAAGGAATAACCTCTATCTCCTTATTTTTTGGAAAAGAAATGACGGAGACCGCAGCCAATGACTCACCGAAGAGACTTGCTCAGGGCATTATCTTTCAAGGCTGGAGTTGTCCTCCATGCTGCGGTACATGGTAATGACTGATGCAAGTCTCAGCAGACCTTTTTGGAAGGGACTTACATGCATCTAAGTCTCTTTCATTCTTTGCGAGACTTTGCTTCCTAGGCTCAGGTCTCCTTTGGTTCAAGAGCTGAGTGCTCTGTTTCATTGCATTTCACAGATCAATGGGCCCAGTGAACTGGGCCATTTTAGAAAGCTGGATTTACGTTCCTAGGTCACAGGAGCACCTGGGAAAATGCCAGTCCTGGGCACTGCTTCTGCAGATCAGACATCTGGCCTTGCTGCTCTGTAGAAACAGTCCCTTATTTACATCTTGTGGATTTTTCCTGTCTTCTGTAAGTCAGAGTGGTTCTTTTGGGGTCAAGGGGTCTTTGCCCTTAAGCCCTGTTGAGCCAGTCTGACCTAACAGATTAGGAGGTACAGATAATTTCTGACCTTTCTATTGCTCTTTGATTAACACAATCCTCCCTATCCATCTTCCTCCAGCTTCTCAGCCTGCTTGGCCCTTCTAGTTTATTTTCCCTGACTCCCCTTTTTCCCCTCCAAGCCAGACTGCCTGACCCTGATCCTTACGGTCAGCATGTGTCCTCCACAGTATGGTCTTGCTCCAGTCGCTCCACACGCCTTTGTAGGTACTTGAGGCACTTGGCCTTGCACGGACAGCTGCCTCGTATTTCAAGTTGGGGGAGAGGCTCTGGAACACCACCCACATCTGGTCCTGCCTAATGGTGAAGTTCTTGGCGTCCTAGGAGCAAGGCAAAATTAGAGCATCATCAACACCGTGGCTTACAGCCTTATATACCCATTTCTTCCAAGGCCCTCAGAGAGGACCTGTCTCACATCCCTTCACCTTGTGCACTGTTTTTCACCCTAGAGTACAAGTTGTCTTCGCTTTTCTTTTTTTCATTCCTTCCAGGTCTCTCCTGGAGCTGTCTGGATTTCTTTGTGACAGCATTAAGTAAAATAGGATTCCTATCTGACTTCATGTCATCACCAAACACTGGTCGCAGGTGACACATATAAGAAGGTGGGAGGTGTCATCTGCTCTCCAGCTGCACCAAAACTGTTTTCATCCTGAGGGGAGGCCCAGGAGCAAGTCCTGGGTGACATAAAGAAGACCAGGATTCATATGGTGACAGGTCCCAGTGCCCCACTCTGTACTCACCTCCCAGGACTGACTCGTGGTTCGGTAGCGCACTTCATATTCCCGCTCCCCATCCAAATAGTGAGAGGAAATATTCAGGCTCCACGTCAAGTTGTAGGTGTTTTCGGTTTTGCTAACCAGCTGAAGATTTCCCGGAGGCCTCAGCTTTACTGGAAAGAGAGAAGGAGCAGGGCTGATACCTCCACACTGTCTGTCCATAACAGGGCTCCACCGCAATCCCCATTGCAGCATGGTTCGTGTCTTGGCTGTGCTCACAGACTCCAGCCAGCCACGGCCACGTGAGAGGGTTAGTGAGTTCCCCTTCTCTGTTCCTCCTTCTTCCTCACTGTCAATGAAGGCAAAAGGCCTGATGTCTCTAGACTACATTAAAGGCAGCTCCTCCTGCGAGCCTGCGAGAGTGGCCCCTGCAGTCAGTGCACTCACTCCCACACAGCCATGCATCCTGTCTTGTAGGGGTGATCTGATCCACAAGACAATTGTACAGACAGGAATGGAACATGGTTGGGGTGACAGCTGCTTCCCAGCTGCTCTTTCAGAGAGCTACCGCCACAGAGGATGGAGTTACACAGACTGTCTGGGCTGATCCTTCCTATTCCCTGACTCCAGCCATGCCTTCCTGGACCATGCAGCAATATTGGACCTCTCCTTGAGTCAGGTACATTCACACATCCAGCAAAAAAAATGACCCAACCAGATGATTTTCTGCTGGATTAGTGAGCTGAATCCTTTCAGCAAATACTGATGCATGCCATAGCTGGCTTAAAGGAGGGTGGAAGCACATATCTGGTAAGAGGGGCACGGGAAGAGCAGCAAGACTTTCCCTCCTTCTTGCAGCACACATTTTTCAGGAGGTCAGCTGAGCTGTCATTGCCTGTTTGAAGCCAGAACTCCTGGTTTAAAACACTCTCATTCAACATTGTCCCAGATACAGGACAGGACAGGAAGCGGCTGGCATAACGCTGCATGTTAGAGATGCAAGTGGCAGGAGTCAACATGGTTCATCTGTGCTAGTTGTAGCGCGGGACAGGGAAAAGACACAAGTCTATATCAGCTATGGGTGTTGCATGGGGTGGATGGGGAAGAGAAATTAGCTATCACTTCATGGGGAAACTTCAGAGACTGCAAGACAGATGAGTACTCACTATTTGCAAGTGGACTGAAATCTTCTATTCGCACAGGTATAGACCTATTCTCTCCAATCTGGCAATGGACAGACATGGTAAGGCGGTCTGCAGTGGTGAAGCATTGAGTCTGCAAGGAAAATTTACCATTAGTGACACGGAACCCTCATCAATAAACATTCATATTTCTAAGCATTGCTTACGCATAAGAGGTTTAGGAATACTCAACAATAAATATGGACAGTATTTGTGGCTGAAAGGCATAAGCCTCAGTAGCGAGTGAGGAACCAAAGATTTATATTTGATGTGGTTGGAATTTATTTTTTGTTCATTAGCGAGAAGGGCGCAAAATAACTGTGATATACTAGTTTGCTAGGATTGCTGCATGTGCAGACTAAGCAGGAAAAAGGTTACTTTCTATGAGTCACATTTATTGAGAAAAATATTTTTACTAAAACGTTTTGTGTTCATTGGTAAGATTGAGATGACATTAGTATTAAATATTACTCTTGAAATGCAATGATACTAAAGGTCCAGATACATCATACAGTATTAAATAAGCAACAGGGAAATTAGCTTGATTAGAAAGAAAAGGTTTTGGAGCTGTTTACCAACCCTACAATTTGTCTTTGCACATGATGTGCAAATGTGAGAAAGCTTGTCTCCCATTTGAACTGATTGTGACTTTATCAATAAGGAGAATTAGCTCATATTTGGGTGTGTTTTCTTCTGAAAACACAAGGGCTACAGTAATTCTGGATATGACAAGGAAGTACATAATGAGTCTAAAAAAAGACTGATTTAAATAAAGAATAATAGCTAGAGGATTTGCATCACCATTAGCTCCAGTGATGTGTTGCTGTTGCATCTTGCATTTGACACATCTAACCAGGCTTCAAAGTAGTTAATGATCTGGAAAATGGTACTGACCTCTTCAAGGAAAATGAGGTCGGGAGATGACCTCAAAGCTGGTGGTGATGTCCATCCCTCCTCAGAGGAAGGGATTAGGACCAAACCCAGGTAACTGAGACGTGGGACACTGCATGTGATCTGTCTGTCTTGCACCTCTTCTGCATGCGTCAGGACAGCATGGCCCAGCTCACAATGAAACCAGGGGAACCCACAAGGGTGATGCATTATCAGCAACAACAAGCCCAATCTCAGAACTGGAGTCAAGGATTAGGTTTGGGCCTTTTATACCGCTCTTGGGTGTCACACTGTTTATACACCCCAAATCCACATACAAATCCTTTCTACTTTGTTGCTAGCCAGGACATCCCACATGAAGTACTCACATTACTGTTTTTGCTGAAGGTTTTGATGCATCTCCTCAGTCCTGTCATGTGTTCTGCCTTGGGTAATTCACAGTGTTCCTTGAATTTTTCAGGTAAGGAAAATAACCTGAGTTTTAAGCAAGACAACTCCAGTGAGCTGGGGAGGCTGGTTTGTATTTTGTCAAACTTTATGTAACGCTAAAGGCCTTTCAAGGCACTTTGCATCCTACCATATTGCTGAACAGGTTACAGCAAGGATGTAATCCCACTTTCTCTCCCCACTGCATCACTCAGACAAATTTTATGTGTTGGCACTTGTAGACTCAATGCATCCCAGTTATTTCAAGCTAAAGATAACAGTAGGTTTCCAGTTTCCAAGTCTTCACAAAACCCTCTTGCTACCTTCTCTGCTTCCT